GAGCCTGTGCTCCGCAGCGGGAGAGGCCACAACAGTGAGAGGCCCGCGTACGGCAAAAAAAAAAAAAAAAAAAAACACACCCCCCCCCCCCCCCCCCCCCCCCCCCCCCCCCCCCCCCCCCCCTGCCGATGCAGGGGACACAGGTTTGTGCCCCGGTCCAGGAAGATCCCACATGCCGCGGAGTAGCTGGGCCCGTGAGCCGTGGCCGCTGGGCCCGCGCGTCCGGAGCCTGTGCTCTGCAACACAGCGGTGAGAGGCCCGCGTACCGCCCAAAAAATAAATAAATAAATAAATAAAAGATTGTTGGGCTTGGCTGTGTGAGATGAGCAAGAAGAAAAAGTTCTTTTAACCATTAGATAATAGGTACAGTACCTTGGGCTTTCCAGAGTCTATGAAAAGGTATAAAATATGAACAAAAAGGTGTGGATCCAAAACATAAAAGGAAATCTAAAGTTAATTTCAAAAGCAATTTATATTTTAAAAAATGAAGTTAACAGCAATATATATATATTTGATATGGGAATATAGTGTTTGATATGGTGTAAGATGGAGGCCTCGAAATGAGTAAGGCCAGGCCTACAAACATCTTAAAACAGAACTGAGAGAAAAGAAAAATGATGTCTTGCTTTCGGTCTTGTGAACTGGCTAAATATCAGTGTCACCAGCTATTAAAGGGATACAGGTGTTACAGCGTATTTGGGAGGAAACTGATCGAGTTCAGTTTTGGACATATTGTGAGGTTGAGATGACTATGGAACAACTTGAAATCAAGGACTTATTCCTAATTTTAGGGCCTTTGTTTAACACAGTAAATGCATAATAAACAATGATGGCTGTAAATTCAAACTGCCTCCCTAACCCAGTGGATCATGCATTCTGTTAAAAACAGACTGATGGGGCTTCCCTGGTGGCGCAGTGGTTGAGAGTCCGCCTGCCGATGCAGGGGATACGGGTTCGTGCCCCGGTCTGGGAAGATCCCACGTGCCGTGGAGCGGCTGGGCCCGTGAGCCATGGCCGCTGAGCCTGCTCGTCCGGAGCCTGTGCTCCACAATGGGAGAGGCCACAACAGTGAGAGGCCCACATACCGCAAAAAAAAAAAAAAAAAAAAACAGACTGATGTTAACTGGGAGAATCATTAGTTGAAATGGGGAATATCAGATAAGATTAAGAGATATATCAATACAACTTCTATTTCACATTCTGTTTAACACTTCCCTGCCATACACCTAGTTCAAAACAAAGAAAATCAAATTTCAGCATGTAAATTACTCACGATGCATACTCACAAATTCCCTACCTCCACTACAGGCCCTTTTACTCACTATTTCTTTTCCATGTAAAAACTTTATGATGATTTTCAAAAACAAAAGGAAAGCTGCATGTTACCCCAGACCTATACATTAAAAGCACTGTCATCAATCCCATGTTGCTCTATTCTTCAATCCAATTCTAGGATTCCTGGGCCAAAGTGGACAGTGAGTGATTATAAAGTCATGAGTAGCATGAGAGAGGGTGAGAGGGTGGGAATGAGGAAGAATTTGGAAGATCTGGGTGCTACTTTTCTCCACATTGAATCCTTGGCCCTAGGGCGTTTGCTGGTGTTATTCAGTAAAAAACAGCGTGATGACCACATTATGAGGAGATGTAGTATAATAGGAAGTACCTGAACTTTGCAATGAGGCGAAACTGAGATAAAATTCCAGTGATCTCAGAAGAAGGTGGGGAGACGGCAACAAAGGGAAAAGGAAGAGTATACAGATTGCTTTCTTTCCTTTCACCCTACCTCCTTCTTGCTTATTTTGGCCCACTAGCCTATACAGAAAGGCTTATCTACTCCAGACACTCAGATGACCATCTATTTGGATATGTGGCATTGTAGAATCCTAGAATTATAAAATGTTAGGAATAGAAAGATGAAGCAGCTGGCTTCAAGAATACCTGTGATTTGCTCCAAATTAGTCGTCTAGCTCATTTAGTGGCAAAATGAATAAGTATTTAAATTCTCAGCCCAGATTTTTTCCCCTATATACCAAAATTTAAACCTGAAAAAGCAACATAATTAAGTAACTGAAGGGGGATTTACGCTTTATAATTTTCCATAAAAGCAGATTTCCATGAACTCCTGTTAACAAGCTCTATTGTCCAAGTGTGCTATTGATTCAGAATTCAGCATGAAGAAATACTGAATTATACCATTCTTTTGCCAGAAAGATTAATAATAAATCTGGTGGATGGGAGTACGAACAGTCCCTGCTCACTCACCTAGGCATAAGTGATTGGAGAAGGAGTTGGACGTGGCCATATCAGAGTCCTAAGCAATAATATTACCTTTCTCTTCTCTCTCTGTGGCTACCAAAAGAAATGTTATTTCTTTGACCTCTTTCTTCAAAGTTTCTACTTTTAAATCTTTTCCAAACAATGCATAAATGAATGCCTGAATGAACAAATGAAGGAATGAACAAAGACAATGGATAATTATTCCAAGCCTCTAGAGAGACAGCAATGTAGAGTGATTAAGAGCATAGACTCTGAAGCCAAATTGTCTGGGTTCAAATACCAGCTACACGAATTAGTAAATGTATAACCTTGGCCAAGTTACTCAACCTCTAGGTCCTCTGTTTCCTTATCTGTAAAGTGGAGATAGAAATTGTACACACATCCTAGACCTGTTGTGAAGATTAAATGAGGTTAGACTCCTGGCAGGAGGTTAGCCCAACGGATAAGCGTGCTATTGTATTATTGCTCTGTTATTATTGCAGGGTTAATGGAAATACTTGTTTCTGGCCACTGTGCTGTAAGCAAAGAACAGCCAAAATGCTAGGCAAAGTTCAGTAGATAGGAAAGAGCCAGGAGTTCCCAAGGAAAGCTGCTTGAACCAAAAGCCAACCCAAGAGAAATGACATCGGCTTTAATTTTACGAGTTACAAAGGTCTTTTCTCTTTAGTTCCTTTCCTTATTCAAGAAATAGATGGGAGCTGATACAGCAGGACAGATGGGAGGGAATGGGTAAGATGAAATAGAAGAAAGCAGCTACAATAAAAATGCCTTAAAAGTTTTTCAGTTCTTAATTACTGAGTCTACCATTCATGAGGAACTTTTTAGGAGTCTCAAAGCTATTAAAATGGTAATTAGGTCCCAAGAAAACAAGAACCAATTCAATTACATGCTGGATGCTTTTAAAATTTAAAGCCCTCTATTAAGAGGGTTTTAAATGAGGCACAGTTATAATTACAGGTCCATGACCAACCTTAAAGCCAAAGTGTAGGTTCCTGGCTGACGCTGGCTCTCCCGAATGAGGTAGCTCCCCTCAGCTACACTCAAGAGCTGGTCTGCCGCTTCTCGGGAGATCATGCCATGAAACCTAAGAAACAAAGTCAATTCAGAAACTGCATGCTTTCCACCTTTTTCAATAAAGCAAGATAAAACAAAACCTCCCACCTTCTCTTGTTGATTCCTAGACTGCCATAAAATTGAAGGGGAGCAGTTGGGTTTAACTATGCTTGTGTTTCTCTGGGCCTGGCCCGGGGCCAGCTTCTCTGTGGTGACAAGAACAGCACCCAAGTAGCTCTCCAATCCATTTAACAATCACGGAATCAAAATTCACATCCATCTACGGAAGACCAACCACCTGTCTCAAGAGGACAATTCCCTTCTTATGTGGCTGCCTGACCATATGGACATGCTAAAAATCACTCAGCAATGTGTCCCACTTCCTTTCTTCACACCAGTGGCATTGCTCCAAAAATTTTGGCACAGAGTCTAAGTTGGCAATTTTCCAGGTACCCTGGGTTGCCCTTAATTGGCATGATTGCTCAATAATGTGCATAATCTGCATCACTGCCTACTCAAGCCAAAAGCAAACAACTGTAATACTTGCTTTCATTCCCTGCTAAAACCCTATTTTTGATTAACAGAGAAAAAAGGAGGAAGAAGAGTAAACAAAAATAACACACTCCTTATACAAACACAGTAGATCCACCTATAACGTTCTGACATAAAACACTGAGAAATTAAAAAACATCCGTGGTAACTAATGATTAATATTAAAAATATAAAACCACCTTATATTCATATGGTGATGTACAGTTTATAAAGAACTTACACAAATATTATGTCCTTTCATTAACTCAAAGAAAACTGAATTGAACAACTGCTCACATGAGACCTTAGCTTTTAAAGGTACAAAAAAACCAACAGTCCCTTGAATGATATTTTGAAAAGGCCCTGAAATAGCACCTTAATAATTTAAGAACTTTATGAGGGTTCAACTGGCAACTTTTTGAAATTTTTCTCATGGGAAAGGTTTGGTCTTTCTCAATTTAATTCTTAAAGCAGTTTGTAGTACATATGCTCAAATCATGACAATTAGAACAAGGAGGTTTAACAATGGGCTCCTAGAATTTCTTATCTCCTTAAATTCCTCAATCTTTCAGAACCAGGTCCACTCTGATTCTGTAGGAGTAAGAAGATAGTAACCTATCTGTGGTAATAACACATATATTAGATTAGCATATTGGTATATTATTTTAAGTTTACATGACACCAACTAATAAAGTTAGTAAAATTTAATATCTCCTTGTTTTTAAAAATCCAATTAATTCAGAAGAAAGTCTCATTCAAGGAAACAAATTTTGGAACAAAACTTGATGGTGCTATTTAAAGACTCTTAAAACTATTCATACCAGCTGACCCAAAATTTCCGCCCCAGAAAAAGATTAATGCACTAAGATATTTCTTAAAGTGTTACTTTTAATACTATCGTTTAAAGTCAACCTATATGCCAAAAGCAGAGAAATGACTAAATTATGGTATAACCATAAAGAACACCAGTGGCTCCCCTCAACTCCTAAGTACCTAGGTTCTACTCATGAGAGTCCTGAAAACTTAAACAGAATTTTAGATAATTTAAAAATATTTGTTATATACATTATTGTTTATCTGATATGATCTTCTGCCATGAAAAACAAATGATTTTATTTGGGGAAGGATGGGATTATAGGTGATTTTTATTCTTTTCCTCGAAGGGTTATATTTCTATTTGGTTTTAATAATCAGAAGAATTAAGGACTTTAAAAATTATTACATTTTTCATAAAATAGAAAAATGATCATTATTAATATTAAATGGAAAAATCAGGCTACAAAAAGTATATGTATAATAAATCAATTTTGTAAAAACCATTAAGAAAATAGATCTTCAGAAGATAATACTTCAAACTGTTAACATTAGTTATTTCTGGGTAGCATGAATTTACTTACAGAAAATTTGGAAAATAAAAGTATAAATGTAGAATAAACCAGCCATACCTTACTACATGCATACATGTATGTATATGTGTCTATATGCTTAATAAACACATACAATCAAACATATACTTTTCCTCATATATATACATCTAGCATTATTTATTTACATATATGGCTTGCATCTTTATTTTAACATTATCACGTATACATTTTCCCATGCTATTTTCTTCTCTACACTTATCTTTATTTTCTATATTTTCACCAACTACAACAATTACATTTACAATCAGAAAAATAATTTAACTCATTCAAACTTGAATACCTCCTTCCTCTTGCTTTTATTTTTTTACTAAAAGCATCCATTTACCTGTCTCTCTTATACATCCCAATCTACAAAATGTTTTCTAATAATCCATACTTACTCTCTTCCGTAATACTTTGGTCTATTTTCTACCTATTGGGAAAGAGAAAAAAGGATATTTGTGAAAATGGAAATGTTCAGAACATAACTCAACATTCTGAATATGTGACAAACTAAAGCATATATTAAGAAAAAGAATTAGAATAAGATTAGAAAAATCAGAGTCTGGGGTTCCAGTCCTATCAGCAGATTGACTGTGCCATTTGGACTGGTCACTTCATCTCTCAGACCTTTTTCTTATCTATAAAACACTGTGTTGTGTAAAAAGAGTCAGACTAAATTATCTTTCATTTCTAGGATTTTATGAATCTGAAAAAATACTTACATCACTTTATCCAAAAGGTAAAATGAAACATCCAAAAACTTAATGCCACGATTGTGTCAGAACAGATTGTGGCTTTCTCTCCCATCCTCTCCCTTCCTGTTACACCATATTCTCCATTCTGTTAACATCTCCATATAATCTTGCCCTTCTGTTCTCCCATCAGCTCTTCCCTCACCACAGTTTATCTCCCCTAGGTTTTCATGGCTGGTGGGCTCACTGTACCTAAAGAAAGGTCCAGGAGAATAGATTCTAAGGAATTTTTACTAGGGTAGACTTAACATATTTGCCCTGTGCATTCAAGAAACATTTATTTAGTGGCAAATAAGTGATAAGCATTGTCCTACCTGTAATACAACAAATACAGTCATTACCCTTTTGAGACTTTCTAATGACAGACAATAAATAAGTTTAAAGAAATAAAACAAACCAACACAAATAAGTGCTGTAATGAAAATAAGAATGAGTAACAGAAAAGTGAGGACTAATGAGGTATTTAAGTTGGATGGTCAGGAAAGACCTCTCTGAGACGACATTTAAACTGGGTCCTGACAGGAATGGAATAAGCTTTCCCGAGGAGGAACCTGGGTGACACCATGGACTACATTTATTGAGTTTGTGCTTTGTGCTATAATTACATTTGGAGATCATTTAATCCTCACAATGAGATGAATTATTCTACTGCATCCTCATTAAGATACTATTATCATTCTCATTTTATTGATGAAGAAAACTGAGAATCAGAGAGGTTAGAGAACTTGTTCGAGGTTTCTTGGTAGAGCCTAAGGTAAAACTGGGATTCTTATTCAGGAATAGCAAGAAGGGCCCAAACCCTTTGTCTATTTGACACTGACTCATCTGAATTAGTTAAATATGGCAGTTCCCAAAGCTAAACTCAAAGTACATCCTTTCAGTGACTGTCTTCCCTTCACCTCTACACAGAGCCTGACTACCAAGTCTAGGTTACCTATCCACAGGTCATCAAGGTCTGGTACTGTTTCAGCAAACTTGAGATATTTATTCGTCTTGAATAAATAAATTTTGTATTTCAATGAAATGCATGATATATAGCATACACTGCTGGCTTATATAGCCCAGATCATTGTCTTTGAGCTATTTTGGAACTCTATAAGATGTAGGTAACTGATACATACATACACACACACACACACACACACACACACACACACACACACACACACGCACACACTTTTCCTGTGTGGCAGTGGTTTTACTGACTTCTTCCCTACCCCTTCTCAGGGGAAAAACAGGTTCTGTCTTTAACTACAATTCATCTCAACATTCCTTGAAACACGCACACTCCTGTGTGGCAGTGGTTTTACTGACTTCTTCCCTACCCCTTCTCAGGGGAAAAACAGGTTCTGTCTTTAACTACAATTCATCTCAACATTCCTTGAATTCCTATAAATATACGCTATTTTGACTTTTCCCTTTGAACTGATTATTAACATCTGCCTGGTTTCCTCATATCACATGAAAAAATACATTTTTATGGCGGGGGCAGCTGCGTTGAGTCTTCATTGCAGCTCACGGGCTTCTCGTTGTGGTGAGAAAATACATTTTCAACACATGTTCATCTTCATTTCTGTAGGAGAGACACGATTTTACCTCTTCCTGAACATTATATTTAAATAATGCTTTACCCTTCAGGAATCTTCTGCTGTCTGTTGTAGTCAGGTTATTTATATTCTCAAAGTAAATTCCACCTGATTTGGTCTTATTGCATAATCTCTCTGCTCATAAAACTCAGTGTACTAAAAATATACCAGTTGGTCCCTATAGCTACAGAGGATGGCTATTCTATTTCTAGGTCCAGAGCTTATTAGAGTAGGGTCATGCATCTAACTTTTGTTTGAAAGCAAACTTTTGCTTTTGAGAAAAAAATTCAATGTTTAGGTCTTAAATAATTAATTTACGGTTCTACAGTATTATATGGTGAAATGTGATCCAGAAGAACGATTTTGCAGTGTCTATTCAAACTAAAAATGTGCAAACCCTCAGTATTTACTGTAGAGGGACACTCGCACATGTACACATGAAAACATATATAAGAATGTTCACTGAAGCACTGCTCACAGTCATTTTAAAAATGGAAGTAAATATATACCAATAGGGGAATAACTAAACTGCTTTATAGTATAAATAACATGCATGGTTTTAAGGAATGATGTAGAACTACAGGAACTAACATGAAGAGGTCACCAAGACAAACTATTGAATAGTATAGTTATAAGCTATAAAATAAGTAATACAGTATGACACCACTTAGGAAAAGCACATGCACATGCAATAATATATATTTATAGCATAGAGAGATATCTGGAAAAATATATACCAAATTCAAATGGTACCTATAGGAAGCTGGGAGGTAAATGAACTGAGGGGCCCAAGGGAATAGCAAAAAACGGACTTTAGTAGTGTCTGTAAAAAAATTTTTTTAATAAAGAACGTCACCTTTAAAAAAACAGAAATCAAGATTAACTTCCATACAACCTAACAGTGGAGTCTCAGACACATTAGAATGGGGGCCCCCAACAGTTTGAGAAGACGAGATCATGGCCTTTCGATCAAATCACGAGATCTTTGTAGGTGGTTGAAGGTAAAATACTTTATCAGGCCTATGTGACTGAGGTAAAAAGAGGAAAGTTCTTGAATACACTCTACTCATTGATGAAAATCCTGGACAAGTAGTGAAGGCTGAGGGGCTGGTGGTGGCCCCAAGTGGTGTGGCAGCCCAATGGTATTGAAACTGAGCAGGGCCCTCCCAGGTACAAAAGCTTCTCCATAACCCCCATTTCTTGTTTGTAGAAAAAGGCTTCAGTCTCCCAGGCCCTTTCCTGAGTTCCAAGGAACAGACTCAAGCTGTTACTAATTAGGGATGTGAAGAAATGCAGAGGAAAAGCAGTCAACAAACATAGTTCAGCAACAGAGTCCTAGTTCCTCCTCAAAGGATATACACAACAATCTGACATATATTTTGGAGTTGTTCTGCAGGAACTAAGACCCATACACAGATGGAGGATGGTGACTATGTGCTGACCACAAGCATGCAGACCCTAGACTGACTGGAACCAGAGGGTTGATGATTAAAATTCTTGAAACACCACCCCATGACCTCACCACCGGCCAATCAGAAGAAAGCCATGCACCCTGCAGCACTCACCCAAAATGCTGCCTCTAAAATCCTTTCCCTGAAAGCCATCAGCGAGTTCAGTTCTTTTGACCATGAGGTGCCCGTTCTATCTGCTTAGCCATGCAATAAACGTTGTACTTCTCTTTACCACAACTCAGTGTCAATAAGCTGGCTTTGCTATGCGGGTGAGTGGACCCAAGTTTGGTTCAGTAATAGTGTTACAACTCAAGACAAATACTGATTATTTATTTGACAGCCCTGCATTAGTCCACAATATGTTTCCATTGATTACCTAAGTAATCATCTTGATGACATAATTGATTTTGGCCTTATATTGCTGAATAATTATTTTCCTTTACCCAAAAGAATCTTGAATTAAAAAAAATTAAGTAAACACTGTTGATTAATACAGTACTGTTACAATAAGCAGTAAGTCCAAAATAAAATTCACACACCAATTATATCTTTTCTGCATTTTTATAATGGAAATGTCAAATAAAACTAAAATCTATTGCAAATGAATCAACTGACAAAGGATTAATCTCTAAAATTTACAGGCAGCTCATGCAGCTCAATAACAAAAAAATAAACAACCCAATCCAAAAATGGGCAGAAGACCTAAATAGACATTTCTCCAAAGAAGATATACAGACTGCCAACAAACACATGAAAGAATGCTCAACATCATTAATCATTAGAGAAATGCAAATCAAAACTACAATGAGATATCATCTCACACCAGTCAGAATGGCCATCATCAAAAAATCTAGAAACAATAAATGCTGGAGAGGGTGTGGAGAAAAGGGAACACTCTTGCACTGCTGGTGGGAATGTGAATTGGTTCAGCCACTATGGAGAACAGTATGGAGGTTCCTTAAAAAACTACAAATAGAACTACCATATGACCCAGCAATCCCACTACTAGGTATATACCCTGAGGAAACCAGAATTCAGAAAGAGTCATGTACCAAAATGTTCATTGCAGCTCTATTTACAATAGCCCGGAGATGGAAACAACCTAAGTGCCCGCCGTCGGATGAATGGATAAAGAAGATGTGGCACATATATACAATGGAATATTACTCAGCCATAAAAAGAAACGAAATTGAGCTATTTGTAATGAGGTGGATAGATCTAGAGTCTGTCATACAGAGTGAAGTAAGTCAGAAAGAGAAGGACAAATACCGTATGCTAACACATATATATGGAATTTAAGAAAAAAAAAATGTTATGAAGAACCTAGGGGTAAAACAGGAATAAAGACAGAGACCTACTGGAGAACAGACTTGAGGATATGGGGAGGGGGAAGGGTGAGGTGTGTTAGGGCGAGAGAGAGACATGGACATATATATACTAACAAACGTAAGGTAGATAGCCAGTGGGAAGCAGCCGCATGGCACAGGGAAACCGGCTCAGTTCTTTGTGGCTGTCTGGAGGGGTGGGATAGGGAGGGTGGGAGGGAGGGAGACAAAGAGGGAAGAGATATGGGAACATATATATATGTATAACTGACTCACTCTGTTATAAAGCAGAAACTAACACACCATTGTAAAGCAA